CCCCCCCCCCCCCCCCCCCCCGGGACAGTCAAATCGCACCTCACCGAAACATTCGTCCTTGCTCGGCAACTCGCTCAAAAGTACTTTTGTTAGTCTATGGAGAAATCAGCTCACTCCGACTGGAGGGGTTTTTGGACATACCCGGTCCAATCGGTGGTGTGACGTCAGAGGAACCAATCACTGTGTTGGATTCCTGGAAGAATGCGGTTTTTTGGATTCACTTGGATTGACAACGGCTTCACTTGAGGTTGACAAGATATAGTCTCAGTCATTCTTGCCATTAGGTTTGTAAGACTGTAAACGAATTTCTGCCGCGTGACCAACGAATTGGGTTGATCTTCATGGGGAACCTACTGAGTATAGAGTGCCAAGTTTTCCAACGGTGTATGTGTGGTCAATGGATCTGCGGGTGTTATCTAAGGGCTTCTTTGAATCGAAGCGTAACAAATATGTTTGAATGTTAGTACTACGTGATCTCTGCCGCAAGTCACTTTGAGAAATTCTACCATCAGCTCCTTGTTGGTCAACACTGAATTCAGTATGGATGGTGGCTGTAGGTTTCCAAACTTGGTGGCTTCCTTCAAATAGTTGCATATTCAATGTGAATCAATCAGCCGTTTGAATTGATGTTCGAATAATGGACAGAGGGTCGCTGATTTGTTGAGATTGGGGCGGTTGAAATTACTCATCAAAAAACATGGGTGAAGTTTTGTATTAGAATGTGTGACATAGTTTTCAAACGCCTTTCGTTTTCCATCTCCAGGGATGATGTGGGACAACAGACTACGCCAATCAAACAATCATCGTGTTCAGACATTCTTAGCCTACACCACATAGAGTCAGGTCTTGAAGCGGTGGGGTGCATTTGTTCACAATCAAGAATGTTGCCACAATAGAGTAGAGCACCACCACCACGGGTAGAGCGATCGCATCTGAGCAGAGATATCTCTGATAAGGACAATTCGATGTCAGGAATATCAGCTGTGGGCCAAATCACTGTAACAGCAATAATATCCCACTGACCAGATGTAAAGCGCAAATTCAACTCTTGAAATTTCCTGAATAGTCCTTGAGCATTGGTGTAGCAACAGTTTAGATACTGTCGGTGTAGAAATCCGTTTGGATAGGAAGTGGTGTGTAGGTCAGCTACCTATAGTATTTTTGGCAGAAGAGTTCTGGTATTTTCGATCACGGGTTGCGGGACGCAGTTCAGTACCTGCATGGAGTGATCTGTTTCGTTAGTAGGGTTCTCAGGATATGGGTGTGTTTTGATTCGGGGGTTCAGTAAGGGTCTCACACGTAATTCCGGTGGCCCTCTGTTCTTTGGTTTGTACACATAAATTTCAAAATATTTGCGACACCTCTTTTCTGTGTTTACAACAAACACACCAGAATATCAATAAAGGCTTCAAAATGATTACATTATAAGTAATTAAAGTAAAATAATTTTACATGTAAACGAAATGTATAGAATGGAAAACGCAACTGGTTCACTACGGTATCAAGATATTTCAACTCTCTAAAGCATTAACTTACATACAATCACACATTCTAATAGGACTTGAGAAATGATCACTTCGGAACATGTTGCTTCCTATCCCTAAGACTCTAGGCGTACAAAACTGAAGTCATCCCCATGTTAGTGGATATCACAAATAAACACCAGTTACTTTTTAATTGGCTAAGACACACATTCGTGTATTGGACGCGTAGAGATGGCGTTAGCTCTGTGGTCAATGATTTTATGGCATCAATTGTTTCGCAAACAACAGTTATCAGTGTTGATATAAAAAAGACGCTTTATGGTATTCTTCTCTTGGTTAACTGTTCAAAGAATTGACGAAATAATCTTTACATTAACCAATTTTGCATGCATAAGCTCATTATAATAATCTGAATCTATGAGAAAAAGTCAGTCAATGAAACGACGAGTAATGCCAAAAGCCCATCGGGACTGCGGAATCAGGACCACTGAAGTTGACTGAGGGACAACCAATAATTCTATATGGACGCAATCGTCTGCTTTGATTAGATATTCCGGTAAATATTAGTGAGTTTTCGTTATACACACCATTTGATCATTTGCTCCGAGGGAACTGTCATATTTAGGGACTTTTCTTAAGCCTCTGAATCTTCAGATTAGGTTAACCATACCACAAATTCGTAGGTTTATGTTTGATTGCTACATCAATTACTTCCGTCTTCAGGGAGAAGAATGGTATTTCCAATCACGAAAATATCACTTTATTGCAAAAACTACTTGTCAACATGAACTCAACCAATAAATGAGCAACGTTATTCACTGAATGCCAAATTTCTATAATAAATAAAATCGTAGAATCAAACGCAAACTGACCTTATGAAATTCTTTCAAATAATTATTAGACGGATTGAAAATAATATAATGATCCTGAATTTGATCCTCAACGTTCTTTGTGAGCGCATCATCCCACTTTTTGAGCAACTGTCCCAACTCCGGTGCATGGTTATTTACGGTGGAACACGTGTGCTCGATACAATAGTTGTGCATCGAGATTCGCAGTTTGTGAGACTGTGTCCCGTAAAACTGTGTGGTCTCATCCAATAAGGCCGCAATGGTATCTATAATCGAGACAGTAAGTGCAGCTGAATCATTTGAAATCAAGAAGACTGTGATGAAGTATTTTGGGGAAGTTTGGCAATTTATACCATCAATCACATCACATCCTTTATATAATTATTTATGTATTTATTGGTAAACCCACCTTTATGGAAAGAGGCCAATCAAAGTTGCTCCGCACACTGAATAAATAATTCGGCGCTGGTGAAATTAGAACATACACCTTAACAATTTGCACGTACTCACAACACGGGATTCAATCATGGGATGAATCATATGTTGAAATGAATCACTATTACACAAAGATATGATTGTTACATTTTTCCTAATGATCTGCGTCGTCAGTGATTGTTAATCAACTTTATGATATGCTCAAAATGTATGCAATATGAGAAACTAACACCCTCTTATCAGCGTACTTTAGCAATGGATATCAAAAGTACAAAACATCATCCTTTGTAATCAGATTACTGGATACTTAAAACAGCCTTCAGATTCCGGAAATTGAATAGACTTGTGTAATGCCGAAGTAGCAGTTTTGAACACTTCGATGGTGATCTCTTTCAAAACAAGAATGATATGTACTGTTAAAAAATTGCTCAGATTTTGAGAAGCTCATCAGAATGACTCATTGGCACAAAGGTCAGTTCAATGAAATCTTCCAATCTTCACTTGTTGGTGTTACATAAGGTTAAAAGTTTTGCTCTAGTTCAGTTGCATTCACAAGCAAGAACTATACATTTTGATTATGATCAAACTTTCAAATAGTATTCGTAATCAAAACCGGTATGGGCTGTGACAAGGTGGTACCACACTTAAAGGGCGTAACTCAAATCCAGTGCTTCCCTGATGTGTAACTGATTAAATAAAATGATAATTGTGCGCAAAGAGGAAGTTTTCAGGATGACCAGTCAGAATCAATCATGTGATACTACGAGAAAAATCTGACAGTTACAGAAAGTGACTTATTACAGTCCTGATGAGTGGTAAAAAAAACACCTTATAGGGTGGAAAAGAACATAGTCAAGTAAATAGGTTATTGCAGAATTTCATCAACATAAGAAACAGAGCGAATAGCTTCCACTTCTTCTAACACTTACAGGATGGACCACCAGATAGCATGATCACATTGACTACACGCTCCATGAAAAGCACATTGTTGATCGACTCGGCCAGAAATACGGCACTCGGACCAATGGAAAGTCGAAAGCGGATCGGTTTGTTTGTGCCATCCATCAGGGTACAACCATCTTGCAGCAGCACAATATACGGAATCGAATATCGTTCAGTGATAGGAGTGACTATTTGGGCCGTGATACAGCTACAAAGGCTGATAATAACGTGAATTCGTTTCTCCAGTAATTCACAAACTAAATTGTAATTAAAGGGAAAAGGGGAAAAGGTATCTCAGACTTCTATTCACAATAAAAGCACGTTAATTTAATCGGAACGCAGATCATAGATTAGTATGCAGATCGCTGTTTTGTGACGTTGCATGGGCGAAACCAGTGACACACATTCCTAGATAAACATGTGTTTTTGATCAAAAGCATCTGGGAAATCACAATTATATAAGAACTTACGACAAGAAGTATCAGGATGTGTTCTTTAAAACAGTCCGAATCAGTTACCGGTGGAATCGGGTTTGCGTTTCTCGGGTAGTCTTCTATGGGGCCTGATAGAGAATCCCGCTACCTAACCATGGGTTACCGGTTTACGTTATCGCTGCACCCGGCTGTGAAATAGTTCGGTTTTGATCTAGAAAGTTGCAGTGCTTGAACTGGTTCCAAGCGCAACGCCTGGACCGTTCCCAGTGTCCTAATCCTATTGGAGTTTGAGGTGTATGGCGGGACTCGGTAGTTGATAATGAACGCCCAGTTGCTGTCAACGAAGTATCTCTGTTACACTAATCGGCCTACAATTGAATACGAAATAGATTCACCGCCTTTACGCCTCAGTCATCAGAGATGCTTTTGATGAGTTTCGATAACGGATGTCTCACCACCCAAATAAGTGGCAGTCAAATAAATTATTATGAGATAGAACGTCAAAATAGGTCATTTCTCCCTGTTCTGATATTGAATGGTGGTTGGTTTGAGAGTACACTCCTGAAAGTAGTACTAACGGGAATCGTTTTAATCGCTCTGAACAGCACCACTGGAGTACTCATTGCTAGTGGCAATACTGTGAAAGGACTTTTGATAAACTATTTTGTCTTTATCGTCCGATGTATCACTATTAGTTTTGTTCTCTCCTGGCAATTGACTTAAATATTTCTTCTATTACGTCAATCTCTTTAAAACTGATAGGGCTACTTCTGAAGCTTCATTTGAGCAATCCAGTCTTGTGCCCACTTCAAAAATACCTTACTGCTTATTATATGTCTGTGAATGTTTCTCACATAACCAAGAGGGACGTACCCCTATTTTGGTTCAAGTTCAATAGGGCTTGCATCGTAATATGCAGTACCACTTTATCAACTAATTGGTCGGTTCACGCTGAACATGCCAAATGCCCTTTACGGTAGTCCAATCAGACAACTGTTTTTGTGGACAAATAGAATTAAAGAAAATTCGAGGTAACTAAAGAACAAAGTGGAATGGCTATAAGAGAAAAGGAAAGCCGAAGATACATGGACTGGGCGTGTTTAACTACGATCTAAGTTTTTAGGAGGGCATTTTCCGAAAGAATCTGTGCAGTCATTTTATAAGTGCTGACATCTATCTGTGCGTGATTTGACTAAACTCTGTGATCTAAATTTAAACATACTATGCTATAGTTAAAGAAAAACCCGGTCTTTGTGTGATTACATACCCCGCTTCTGATGAATATATAACAGCAACACAGTATTTTTCGTATACAACTAATTCTAGCGTAGTTTCAAATTAAGAAAACAACATTCCAAGGTAACATCCTATTTTATTCTTACTTTGCATGGAAAAAACAATGTGAAGAAATGATTGACTATACCGGTTATCAATGAACCACATATATGATCACATATTGTTCATATTTTCCATGAATTTCATGCTGTATCTCGTTCAATCCGGATACGCTATACGAGTGATTGATGTCTCATTCTGAAGTGCAGTTGCATCTGTTCGCTGTAATGCCTAGTGTGCTACCGTGTTTAAATCTGGCCACTCTTCTGCATAGGTAGACCTGGTTTATTCCGTAGGAAAACACGCACAATATTTTATTCAGGTATTACGTAGTGCACGAGTGGGGGTGTATTTCGAGGGCCCAAGATTTTGTGCAGTGCATCAGCCAAAGTCAGAACAAACCCAGAAGATCTTTATATTTTGAACTACGGCCCATCGATAGTGTGCACTCAATCATTCACACTGATTTCATTTCTAATGTTTTGGACTACGTCAGCATATCCCATAGAATTTTCAACTGCTTGCATTATATAAGAGCCATTATGTTAGCGTGGTCAGATTGAGCGGTACCTTACAGCAAATTTTCTGGTTAACAGAGACATGAGAAACAAACGCTTACATTTTTTCCTCGATTTTCCTATCTTTCTATTTTATTTCCCTTTATTTAATACATAACGATTAAATTTTCAGGAAGGGGAAGCGGTTAATCAGAGGGTTGCCATAACAGCCTTTCGAATTCCAATTACAGTTTTCAAGCTTTTCATGCGGCCAAACAAACGATGACATCAAGTATGGACNGCCAAACAAACGATGACATCAAGTATGGACAATCATGCCTCATCAAGCAACTGAACTAGCCTAGTCAGCTAGTCAGCTATTTATAGCTGACTGAGATAGAATATCCCAATAGCTTTTAAAATTTCTCGATGAGACTAGCCATCCAGTGAAGTTTGGTGTGTAAAAGCCCGCATGAATATTTATCCCACATTAGTACCGTTTAATCAACGTCTTTGCATCCAAACTTTGGGATAGACAACAAAAACCACCATAAACAAACCGTGGGACAAAACCGTTGAAAAAATACACCAAAAAACATAAAAATGTAATGCATTGTGGACCACTAAGACAGGTAAACGTTTCAAAAAAAACCTTCTCTTAATTTTGAATTGTCATTTTTTATTACACAGGTGATATACAGCAAAAGGGTAAACCCCACAATCTATGACATACTGCAAAGGAGAACGTATGTGGCGGAATATTCAATTGATAAACAAATTGTTAATCCTGCTTTTGAACAGATTACGATTATAAGTGCTCGGAAAAATAGGGATGGGACTAGTGATCTTTTAATTATGCTTTTAAAAGTGCGCCTAAACCCACTGTTGATTGCTACAAGCAAGCCTATTCGCCAAAGGTTGTTCCTTTAAATCATACAAACAAACAATGAGAATGGTACACTTCGCCCGGTCACAGTCTGAATGTGTACAATGAAAAAACTGCCTTGCTTTTTCTTTCAGGCACTATTGTCTGATGTCCTGCATAACTTCCCGGAGGAGCATTGCACGGTGTAACTCCAGACAGTGACTATTAACCAGTTTGCTCAAACCCGTTGTGTATAGACAATCAAGTAGTTAAAGGTGTTGTGGTATCTACCAAGAGATCCCGAGTTTAAATCCCATCACTTTCACCCAACTTTGATAGTTAGTACGGGTAGTCTTTCTGTAAACTGTTTTGCGATTGTTTATCCATTTACCGAACAATTATGATTTTTATAATTAGTTTGTCCAAGAATACAAACTCAATGCCATTTGGAACAACTTTTTCCCATAATGATTTTGAATAAAGAATACAGTAGATTTAAGTTACACAATTTCTAAGACAGTCATGAACTTATTATCGGTAATTTTTATCAATTTATTGTGATCATGAATATTATATAAACTGTAGTATGAACCCGAGATACAGTGAGATATATCCAGATACAAACTGTGCAACGTTAACCTACTCTATTGTCTATTCATACCGTTTATTTGCATTTTTGAAGTAGTTACCTCTGTAGTACATTAGCTCGTGACAAAACCTAGTTCACGGATATTTCCGACCGGTGAAAGAAAGGGTATTTCAAAACTAACATTTGGAGAACGAGTGCGTTTTATTCAGATGAAATATGCCTTAAATTGATTAATCTCCCAAGCAAATGCTTATCGGTTATTTGTACAAGTGAGCACTTTGATATCTGTTTCCCACAAAAACGTCGCTAGCGTTGTGATTTACTGATGAGACTTCCGTAATATTCTGAGTCACAAAAAGTCAATTAGTTCAGGATAGCTTCTATCTGAATCAAAAATACACATATCGATTCTGGAAACGTCATAACTATTACAAATCAAAATATTGAAATCCCGTACCAAGATAGAAAGCTTCCAAATTCTGCTTCCTCGATCCGGATTTCGCGAAGCACCTTAAATTTTGAATCTTGAACCTGCTGAAAACTCATTTTGAATATATTATTTTATAAACCTAGGACGAGTTTCTAAGTTATTATTTTTGATGTACTTTTAGCGTTCGTTTATACAAGTCATTTATAGAAGTCTACACTCGGTTTTATGACGTTCGTTCTTCTTTAGGGTACGTTATTTATTCAGCTGCTAAAGCGGTTGTGTAATATTTGTTACCATCACATTGCCTAGTTTGTCATGTGCTCGACCCACTCTCGCTGCCAAACTGTAATCGCTTTTCTAAGGCGCATGGTAACCCCTTGAATGGCTACTTCCTTATTTGTGGACATTGTTTCTACAAAGGACAATTTTCGACATAAATATGTATGCAATATACGACAAACAAAGAAAGATATTGATGAAACCAACCTTTTATTTCAAGAATTTGAATAACTGTTCATAAAATACCCTACTGCTAGTTTTTTTTACATTTGTGGGGTTTTCTTCGGTTGTGCAGTTGTTGTTTTATTCGATAACTGAACTGTGTGAAAATCAGTTCGGAACGCAAAACAGCAAAATATTTTCTGAATCCCAAACTGATATTCAATCATTCTGTGTAGCTGCAGTATTCAGATTCATCCAGTGTTGTACGTGATGCGCTAATCAATACAAATATGAGAGCAGTGATAACAAATTCTGCCAGTGAATAGCATTTCTCTTAATCCCTACCGTCACCATAAGGTAAATGCTACTTATACAAGATACGTTTGACGAAGTAGCGGGAGACTAACGCAAACAGACATCGTGAAGTTCACTTGCTCAGTCCTAAAACAATTTGGCCGGTTGCGTCAAAATATTATTGTGCATAAAGATTTCAGTCAGTTTCGTATCGTTCATTTCATACCGCCGGTGGATGAGTTACAAATACAACATTATGTGGGAATGTCAAGGGTTCTGAATTCAACTACCGAACGAATGCTAGTCCCTGGGATAAATAAACGATTGCTGCAGTATCCACTTCATGCCATGCACACTTGACAAATTGCACTGCTTTCATAACGACCAGGATGTCGAATAAATTGAATGCAAAACCTAAGTGAATTACATCAACTGGGAAGTCAAAGATTGTCACTTCCATTGGCTTTCGATTGGAGTTAACAGATTGTCATCTGTGTCCCCCTTTGTTCCTGCAGGGCCAGGTTAACTGAAGATGACATCTGAGCAAACGAATTGGCAATTTGGTTTAGCCATGGTATGAGCTGGTTGGCACAGTGGTAAGACACAGGCCTTCAATGCGATGGGTCCGGAGTTCAAATCCCGGACGAGACAGTGCATATGCACTACTGATGAGCTCCAATAAAATCGAAACTTGAGTCTAGTGCTTCCGAGTGTATGGTTTAATCGATGAACTGAGGATTGTACGTAAAGGTGAAGTCCGAAGGGTAGTCATTTAAAATCAATAAATAATAATTATCCCACATCACTACTCAATAATTGGAATGAACTTCGTGTATTGAATTTTATCTGAATGAACGAAAACAATTTCCTGTCTGAAGAGTCGTCAATAGATTTCACTTTGCTGTTCTTCAACTGTACACCCTCATTGCTTACAAGACGTCCCCATTATTCATAAATGATTGGGATAATATCTGTTTTTATCTTAAATAGAACCTTTTATGTGGCATCAAAGAGCAACGTGTTCTCCTGATTGAACCATCAGAGGAGTCATGGCAGAACTGAATTCCATGCGGTGGTTGAATTGTAAAGGGGCAGAAGAAGTTACAAATGGTACTATTAATGGTCGCACTGCTGAGCAACCACCAAGATCAGAGATGTAGTGAACAGTGTCCCGTGTCAGGTTGAGGATTTACCAATATTACAGGCTGCAAAAACGTGTGGAAATTTATCAGTTTAGATCGGAGAGAGTGGCAGATATGCAACAAGATGTGCGGTAAGGATGTAAAGACAACGGATCGCATATCAAATGAAATGAGCTGGCGATTATCTCAACGACAGTCGTTTTGTGGGTGACACAAATTGAGATAAACACAAATGAAATGAAATTATACAAAGTGCTTCTATGAACATTTGCAGAAACATTTGTGATTTGGGCGATCTTACTGGCAGAGTAGGAGAATCGAACTAATTCGAAACGAATTCGAGGCACAACAGTTCGGTATTGCATGGGCAGTGACACATAAACCGCGTGGGATAACTGCATTTCCAAAGCCATTAAATCTTGTTTGATTTGCGGAATCATTGAGGCTGATTCCCCATCAAAAATAATACCTGAATGGGATGGAAAGAAGAAACGATCCTTATCGAATGAGTGACGTAGTTGGATTTAATCAAAGTGCAACAAGGACAGAATTTTTCAATTAACTCTTTGACAGTGAAGCACTCTGGACCTGATTGTAACTGTAGACGGGTTTGAAGTGTAAATAACTGGGAAATTGGAATGGAAAGCCAATCGCGAAGTGTCCTGTTATTGTCTGAAAATTTGTTGGTATCATAGATGCTATTATTCGGCGTATTGGTATCATTTAATCTGTCCCGTACAATGGACTGAGCAACGTGCGTTAAATGTTTTGAATTTCTTTTCGAAATGTCATTCAGGTGATTTCAAACATTTTCGAACCAGTGCAAACCTCGAATCAATATGCCAATAGTAGCATCACCCATCATTGAAACGATCGACCCTGATCTCTTGATACCCAGCGTATGATCACAAGGCTTCCTGAATATCCGTTCTTCTCGGCTCCTTCTTTTAAGCATACTTCTCTTCTTCACACATCAGCAGGAAGCTGAGAGGTTTTGTGTTGAATCTAGGCATCTAGGCATTTCTGTGATGTTTATAATGTATGTGGTCCTAGCCACTGGTATGCGGTCAGCGTCCTCTATGGACATCTCGGTATGATACCGGGACATGTTGAAGTGTTGTGAGTAACCAGCACGATAATGAGTCCATTTGACATGAAAGCCGGACATCTTTAGTGAATATCAGGTTAGCCAGATGTGCAAAAGCATATTGTTCTCTATACTAATTCTCTATATATCATTCATTTATATTGCCTCACGTATGTGATATATCACAGCAGCTTTTACCGACGTGAAGCTTTTATTTGGAAATGGAGCTCAACCTGCAGGTTCGTACTCATTAGAGACTACAGGCTAACTTATCTACCAACAATAAACCAGGAGATCAGTTTCTGAATATAATTTGTGTTGAATCTTATTTTGCTTTACACAAATACTCTTCTATAGTTCCCGTATTACCAAGGCATTTACATAACTCGTTTGCATATAATGCAGCGCTTGGTCACTTAATCAGTTTAGTTTTATCCAGGGTTAGCAAAAGCACGAAGCATTGGGATAACACATATATGTAGGAATGATGCTATAATGATTATAATATAGTTTTAATTTAATCAAGTAACAAACAAGATTAGGTACACTGTTGAATTGAAAAATTCGCTATAGCCGTATCAGGTAATCACAAACTGAGGCACAAGGCCAAAAGCTCCTCAGATTTATAGATTCGATTCAAAGTGAGATGCAAATATTTTCACAGTTATTCACTTGCTTTCTTGATACGTGAGGAGAATTCATAAACATTCGCTGAAGTTTCACCGAAGTGATAGAATTAGGACCTTGGTAAAATGTTAAAATGTTGAAGCTATCAACAAAAAGCTCGTCTGATGAATGTTACTTGTAAATATGGATGGTTTATGTTTCATTCGCTATCCTGACTTACCAATCGTAAGTACATTTTCCCGATAATATCCATAAGATGTGCGGATTACAAAAATCCACAAATGCAGGATTAAGAACATCAATGTTCGCATAGTTGTTCGAAAGTCCATCTGTAATACTAGTTTTTGTTCGACCTTTAGCGGTACTAATATATCTCTTCTTATACCGCTTTCTGGTGCAATAAGAATTCTCAATATATTTTGAATGTTTCGTCACCAACATACCCAACCGTGTTGCTGACATCTAAGTTAATGTGATTGGTTGATGATGTGTGGATAGAATAGCTACCTTGATGACAGAGATGGTTATCAAGATAACGGCTTCGTTCCTAATTTTTTGTTCTGGTTCACTGTTAGAGTTATCGATGTTAAGTTATTTAGTTGTCTACTTCTTTCCGTTAGATTTTATCAGCAGGTTGCACTGTTATATGTTCGTGTACAAGTATATTTTCATGCACGCAGAGAGAGAGAGACAAGCAAATCAAGATGGAAATAGTACACTGAAGAAGACGTTTCAGTAATGGCTTGTAATCGGCCATGAATATCAGCACGCATATCAAATAGTTCGAAGTGAGTAGACAAGAAGCATAGACAGCCAAACACTTATTCTCTGTTGTGCTCTTGGTCTAGATATCATCACGTAGATGAATGAAAAGCGCTATGGCAATCCACAAAAAATCACTTTCCCTCGAACGACAGGGTGATGAGAACAATTCATTTAAAAGTTTCTACGAAGAATAGATGCAATAAATGGCACAAGAACAGAGTTCAATGCAGCTGGATACTAGCACCAAAACTCTCACAAATGCATTGAGAACCCAAATTGAAAAGCAAACAATGAACTTCGATGAGTTCCAGTCATAATCTTACAAATCGGCTTAGCGGCGTAGTAGTGATAGCGAATTTCCTTTAGAGAGGATGCAAGTTGAAAACGCCAGATGCGTAGGGTCGGTTGGAGTAGAACAATGTTACAAGGGACAACATGATCACGTAGTTTCACTCGAAGTATAGAGAGAGGTAGGTTTAGTTCAGTTCAAGTCTTACAAATATTAACCATGCACTTCCGTACGCCAGTTTTGGTTGCCGTCTTTAGGTTGCCAATTTGGAATGACGATTGGAATGTTGTGAGCAAATTCAAGATAGCAAATTCATATAAACAAGAATACTAAGTAGATGCATGACTGCCACTGTTTGTGACATCCAGCCATATCACTCAGTGTCTCTAACCATCGGTGAATATGATCTCGGCGCCCCAGCCAGGGAGACTAACGGGAGCTATGTGACTCAGTCTCGTGGTTAGTATTCTCATACTCTCATGCTATGTCTTAGTTTGAACTCCAATGATCTTTTCCCAATCGCTATCTGCCTCGGCATACATCGATCGCCGTGGGAACCTGTCTGGTGACATGCTTAGCACATGTCCCAGCCAGCTTGATCTATGAATTTCGACTACTTGTTCCATT